TAGGAATTAGGCCTGCTCAAAATGGTTTGCTTCAGTTATTTATGACAAGCTTGTTCATTTATTAATTTATGTATAGATGTGCATTCGTGCTTGAAATACCTCATTCTGACAGGTTGTCTATAATATAAGTTATTTGAAGATTTGTGTTAATAATCCGGTTTCATGAGTTGCGAACGCGCGGCGACGTCACGTTTATCAATAATTCAGCCATTCATTCCATAACCAATTACATGCATCGCTCGCTCATCAAGCTGACTTTCATAATATTAACCAACCGAAGAGGGTGTTACGCAGCTCAGTTATTACCAGGACATTCTGAGACCTAGACATATAATTTTAACAGTTTAAAATATGAATTATTTCATAAGGATGTTTAGATATAACACAGTAGGATTTTAGATTACAGTATCATCGGAGTTACTAAGGCAGCTACTGGGCAACAAGCATGGGAAATACAAAGAGGAGGCTTTGAAACTGTCCATACATATGGCAACCAAATCCCCATTTCACCAGGTTCTGGACTGTGAGTAACCATGTCTCGATATAGCTGTCTGTATTTGTGGATCTCAAAGTGGCCCTTAAAACTGTGCTTCGGAAATACATATCAATGTTAGTCAGTGGAACAAGGAGATTGCCCTAATGAAGGATCATCGTTGGAGCAGACGTGATAAAATATGAGACCAATCAATCAGCTACAACGTAATATGTATATACAATCAGTTCAAGTTGCCACACCACATCATCACAGAGAAGCGGAATTGTCAGTTCAAATCCCAGAGTAGCATGGGTTGTAGCAGTAGTAACGGAAACGGAAAAGTTTTGGAGATCACTGGATTTTCAGACCACCATTAGAAACCTAGAAGCACTACATGGCCATTTCGTCTTGGTATGGAACTCATTAGCAGTGCACATCCACAACTCCTGCTACCCAAGGGATTCGAAATCAGGACCACTGGGCCACCATCAAACGGTGTTAATTCCTAACTCTGATCAGCGTTGAGCTCAAATGGTTACGTCTTCTCACTAGAACTTCGAAGCTAGCCACCAGTGAGCACATTGTACGATTTTTTCAATGAGTTATGGAGATCATTGTTTTTACACATTGAAATCATGATTCAGTCATTGTTAGAATTATACTAGCAGACGATAAACAGCATATATTTATACAATTAAATGAGTGTTCATATGTACAGTTCTAGTGGAGATTAACAATTTATTTGCCCAAATGCACGTAAGTTTCCAGGTCAGGGACGGCTGCCATGGTTTGTTCTACATGACCTATACACTCTAAGCAAATGAGTTCGGGATTATCCTGATTCACAAGTACCACATCCTGTTGGTTAAAAAAAGAAAATAAAAACGGAAGGAATTAATATACTTTGGATTGGTTAATTATACTAATGTACCACAGAAGATAGTACTTTTAGATAATATATGTGCTATCAATATTTTAGATAATGGTGTAGCAATATATATATATATATATATGATAGGAAAAATACATATTTTGGCACTAGGTAAACTGTCCTAAATCGTCTATGGAGAGACTTGCGATTTATAACCCTCACTAATACAGACTGATTCTAATAAAAATAACAAGAAAATTGATACAATATTATGGGAATACTTATATTTACTAATGGTTAACATGATTTAGAGGTATGCATTTGGTTAAACACATTCTTGTAAGGATAACGCAAAATGAAAAAGCCATTAATGTTCTCCTTGAAAATAGAGAAGTATCGTAAACTAGTCGGCGCAGTGAGAGAAGACCGTTCTCCCTTCCAAATAGCCTTTACATGGACACACATATACAGCCATTACCTACCGTAGCTGCTACCTTGACGTGGTGGTCGGGCTTGCCTATCGTGATGATCCAACCGAGCTATATTGGTTGGAACATATGTTCCTGAAGGTGTGACCATGCCAGGCAGGTCGATTGGAGAACGATGAGACTAAAAGCAGCTACTCAAGGTGTGAGGGCAAAGTCGTACTGCTGACTGCAGAGGGGTGTGACAGTAGTAAGGTGTTTCCCTCGGACAACCAGCATCTCTCAAGGAAGGTCGAGTTAGAAAAGGTCTACCCTAAAAATGTCACATCTCACGGATTTTCGTCTCCATCGTTAAAGGCCGCCAAATAAGGGCTTTTGAAAAGAGCGGAGCTAATACTCCGAAAACCTTTCATAAAAATGCCGCGCGCAACACGACCCAAGCAGTTGTCCATTGGGCCCTGCAGTCACGCTCCCAGGTCGCTGAGACAAAAACTAATCTACCTTCCTTCTCAAGTTCCTCAACAAACAACCTTCCACGGTGTGGGCAGCCGGGAAGTGTCAACTGCCCTATTAGGATATTCATCCAATATCCTAAGAGCAATATTGGTCAATCCCTATTGATTTATTCCTACTGGTCAAATTTATGGTCGTCCTAGATATCACTGTCACGTGCTCGAATGTTGTTTCTTATTTGGTGTCCTGACGATCAATGTCACAGACTTCGATGCTGTTTCTCGTTCGACCAAAATGTATAAATACGCATTATCTGTAACGTTTTATGACCAGGACCCGCTCCCGGATCCATAGTCCGGGATCCGGATTCACTTCTGGACTTGGACCTCGTACTTTTTGGATGTTTGTAGAATACAGGTTCTGCTTCATATAAGTCTTAATATTTTTACTCAATATGGGGGTTAGGATAATTGGATTTTAGTAGCATGTCGTGTCGCCAGATCCTCGATCCTCACTCTCGTTTCCTGACTAGGTAAACTCGTAATAGATCATACATATCAAGTTGACGTGTTTATGTGCAGGCGTAACAGGCCCCCATACCCAAAACAACACATCAAACCGAATAGGTCAAAATGAAATCCTTCCTACACCACCTGATTAATCTCTTATCTCCACGACTAACTCTACTAACATTCCTTTATCTCAATGCATCGGTAATGCAAACGATGCCAGCTCACGAAAAGTTATTCCTCTAGACTGTATGTTGGACAACTGCCCTCGTACCCGTAACAGCACACGAGACCAAATTGGTTGAAATCGAATCCTTCCTACACCCCCTAATATCTCACATTTCTCCACGAATAACTATTCTCATATTCCTCTATCAGCCTACACCGCTAATGCAAATGATGCGAGTTTACGAAACGTCATTCCTGGTCTCTTGAAACCTCGTTCTAGACTACATGTTGGAGCATTTAATGTACGGATATTGTGTCAAATAGGGCAACAGGCTTCCTTAGCTAGGACTTTAGAATCTCACGCCATCGACGTATGCTGCGTCTCCGAAACGCGCATGCAGGATCCTAGTAAAGTCATTATTCTGATTTCATCTTGTCAAAATAAAGAAGCAGCTTGATCTACTCTTCGTGTATCAGGTAGCCCCGATGCTGCTTCCAGGCTCTCGCTGGCGAAGGTACAGCATTAAGTCGCAGGGCAGAACTAGCTCTCCTAGACTGGATCCCAGTAGATAGTCGGTTGTGCGCTGTCCGAATAAAACGGGACAGTAACGACTCGGAAAGATAGGGACACTCGCCGTCGCATCTTCGTCGTATCTGCCTATGCACCCACTGATTGTAGTTCACACGATGTGAGAGATGAGTTTTACAGAAAGCTTTCGGACCTCCTCCAAAAAGCTAGGCACTCTGATGTAGCGATAATGGCTGGTGACTTCAATGCTCAAGTAGGTAGACTAAGTGAAAAGAAAAGACACCTAAGTGTATCTTATGGTGTCGTGGCTGAGAGAACAGGTAATGACGACCGTCTGTTGCATCTATGCTCAGATAACCGCCTATTCCTAGCAAACACTAACTTTAGACATAAGGAAAACATCCTTTGACCTGGCGACCCCCAAAGTCGTATCAATGTTGGACCCAACTAGATCACATTGCCATCAGCCACTGATGAAGAGGTTCACTGGAGGACTGTCGCTCGTTCTGGAGCACATGTTTAGATTCAGATCATGCTCTAGCACGAGTGCGTATTTGTTTGCGACTTACTGGATGTAAGAAAGACACCGCAAGGAAACCTCTTGGGGTTCTACTTAAAGATAGCAGAGCTAAGAATATATTTTAGGAGCGACTAGAAAAACAATTAGGCGACGATGTAAGTGATTCCCATCCGAAGGCAGCTTGGAATGACATCAAAAGGGCTGTGGAAACAGCAGTGATACCTGCTAGTAAGGCAAACCATAAGGTTAGGGAGAAGTCGTGGACTTCAGTAGAATCTACCCAACTGATGGATGCTCGAAAACTCATCCCGCCTGGCTCTAAGTGCGATGTCGAGAGGAGTCAGCTTAGACGTAGGCTGATAAAAAGCCTACGCAATGACCGAGAACAGTGGTGGGTGGAGAAAGCAAGAGAGATGGAAAAGGCAGCGGCGATAGGCAACAGTAGGCAACTATTTAGAGTAATCAAGGAAACCGGTATTAGGAACCCAAATGTGAGTGAGACTATTTCGGAAAACAATGGTCTTATTGTCCATTCTCAATCCAGGAGATTGGGTCGACGGGCAGAACACTTTAGGGATCAGTTCAGCTGGCCTTCAGCCGCACTTCGGTTGCCCATGATCTGCAGTCATCCTGAATGGCAAATCGATTTAAGTCCTCCGAGTCTTTACGAAGTTGAAAAAGCTATAGGAAATCTGCGACGAGGGTGATCTTCAGGGCCTGACAGACGTGCCCCTGAGATTTTCAAGGCTGACAGTCCAGTTTCAGCAGTTAGATTGACCGAGATCTTAGGTAGAATCTGGGAACTGGGCGAAATCCCATCCGACTGGTCTCGATCGCTGATTGTCCCAATTTATAAGGACAGAAGTCTTCTTGTGACAATCGCAGAGGAATCAGTCTAACTAATATAGTTTCTAAAATATTGGCCTCAATAATGCTCCAACGCTTAACGAAAGCTCGTGAAGAGCAGACTAGAGAAAACCAGGCTGGTTTCCGACCTGGACGTGGATGTATGGACCAAATCTTCACACTACGTCAGGTCCTAGAACAAAGACACACTTTCAGACGCCTCACAATAGTAGTATTTACCAACCTTAAAGCGGCATTCGACTCTGTTGATCGTGAGGTTCTGTGGCAGTGTCTGCAATTAAAAGGTGTACTGAAGGAGTACATTAGCCTTATACAGGCTCTCTACTCGAACATTACAGGTCGATTTGGAGCTTTATGGCGAACTGTCAACGGAATTCTTCACTTCAAGTGGTGTCCGTCAGGGTTGTCCACTCTCTCCATATTTGTTTAACCTTGTCGTAGATATGCTTTTAGAGTAAACATTATCATCTCCTGACGGTTCTGAGATGGACCTTTAGCCCAGGAGACACGCTTGCCGACTTAGAATATGCTGATGACAGAGTCCTGTTCGATGAAGACACTGACAAAATGCAGAGTCTTCTGACTCCCCTGAGCAACAATCTAAGCATGTTCGGAATGCAGTTTTCACCATCGAAATGCAAAATGTTGCTTCAAGACTGGGTTGCATCGGCACCTGAACTAGTGATAAGAAGTGAAGTAGTCGAGTGTGTAGACCGTTTCACTTATCTCGGGGGTCTCATCAGTGCTGATGGCCTGGTGTGTGACGAAATCTCAGCACGCATACAGAAGGCCCGATTGGCTTTTGCCAACTTGCGTCACTTATGGCGTGGGCGTGATATCCGTTTGCTGACTCAATGACGGGTGTACTGCGTTGTAGTTCGCTCTGTCCTACTTTATGGCTGTGAAATATGGTCAGTCAGAGCAGAAGATATTCGTAGATTACTGGTTTTCGATCAAAGGTGTTTTTGAAGCATTGCTCGTGTATCCTGGGACAACCGAGTAAGCAATGCTGTCGTCGTTAGGAAACGAGTACTAGGTAAGAATGGCAGATCAATAGATGAAGTATTGAAACTTCATCAGTTGAGGTGATTAGGACATGTGTTGCGTATGCCTAACCACTGACTGCCTCGTTGAGCTATATTTGGCGATGTAGGAATAGGTTGGACGAAAGCCAGGGGCGGCCAAACCAAAACATGACAGAAATCCATGAAATCGCTAACAAGTGGACTGAGTCATGTCTGTAGGTGTCGACTACGTGGTTGGGGTCCACGAGACGAAAGTCATGGCTCAAAACCGTTTGCAATGGCGTAGGTGCATTCATTCATTCTGTTCTCTCAAATCCTAAAATTTTTAATTCTTCATCAATTTAACCTTATGTTTTTTTTAATCTATTTCACTAGATTCTGCTTCTTGAATAGTATATTCTAATCCTAACCTCTCTGACTACTGCTAATACCTTTACTACTATTGGACTTGAATTGACAATTACATCTCTGTGCTAACGTGGTATGGCAACATCAACTGTTGTACTTACGTACGAAGTTCTACGTTGCTTTTACCAGGGAAGTCCTACTCGCTGTGGCGATGTTCGTTTTGAAATTGAGAAGGCAAAAAGCAAATGTCCGGCACTAAAGTCGGGTTGTTGGGTACAGAGGATTGACCAAGGGGAGTTAGGAATCTCTGCAGACCAGTGGTGCAGAGTGGCTTCAGAATCTTCAAGCAGAAAATGGAGAAGAAACCTACTGTTGGTCACCCAGTACCATGAAACTTCATTTCTCGACGCAGCTTCACTGCCTTGTGGATCAGACCTCTTAGTTAAAGGCACGGCGATTAACTCTCTAAGAAATTCACCTGCTTTAGTTTAGGTACTTGAGCAGTATTCTGACTAACACAAATTCAATTCAAGTAATATTAGTCGTACATACAGAATAGGTCGCTTCTTTTGAGCATAATCTAGACACGCCTAATAATTCATGCGTAGATGATAAAGGTGATCTGTTGTTTACTTACTGCGGCAGAAAACTAAACATCAATGCCATCAAGCTGATACACTAAACGAAACTATATTTTTGACAACTTCAACATAAAACATACAAATCATCCTGCAAGACATCAAATTAATATACAATAATGTTCCTAATTAAGTATGAAAGGCAAACAAGGGGAGAAAGAGCTTACAGACGCTATAGGCAACGGACGTGGACAAGATAAATTGAATCGAGCATCACCGACAACTAGACGAACTTCTTGATTACCTAATAACTGTATCTTCCCGAAAAAACCTTCTTTGATTTGCTCATTATCCTAAAATTAATTTACAAGAAATGTGACAGACAAAAAGAATCAACCAATATACTTTATAATTCATAATCAAGTTTATACCAGTAAGTCAGCTAAAATTAGGTGTGTATCTAGAGTTGGCTGACTACATACATTTCGTTGACAATAAATGTGAATTGTTTTGAATGTGCTGAGGCAAAATGACTCATTTTCATGAAATCTACTAAACACCTGCCAAAACTACTGATTCGAATGAAAGAAATATGATTAAAGTTTAATTTTAGAATCTATTTATTAACAGATGAATATATATATATATATATATATATATATATATATATATATATATATATATATATATATTCAATAATTACTGGATCAGTCCAAGTTCATGTGTCACTATTTAAATACTTACGAAATTAACAATTATAATGATACTCATATATTAAACGATGAATAATATTTATACATCAGGAAATGGTGATCACATATTTTTATCTAAAAATATCCATAAATTTACATTAAGTAAGAAGTGATATGACTTTATGTTAGAATGTATAATTTGTGTATAACATATGTGATTTTCAATAGTAAGCATGTACCTACCGGCGGTAACAATTTATCTGGTAATTGTAGAGTAAACAATCTACCTGAAGTGGTACCATCGGAGAATAAATTGAACGGAAATCTAGAGCTCCATCCATCAGACAAATCCAAATCTCTAAAAGGATCTAAATGTATATAGCGAAATAATGTCTTAATAAAACAAAAAAAATTAAAAGTATTAAGAAAACGACGATAGATCAATATCACAAAAGAATGCTAATTATTGTAAATTACTATTAGTGAGTGAACTACAACGTAGAACTTGGTACGTGCGTACATCAGTTCAAGTTGCCATACCACATTTGTCAGTGTCTTCACCAAATAAAACTATGTCATCGGCATATTCTAAGTCAGAAAGTGAATGCCCCGGTAAAATTCCAACTCCTGGAAAGTCAAGTGATGGAAGTTCCGTCTGTAAACGAATATCAATGACAAGTTAAATAACAATCGAGAAAGTGCGCAACCCTGACGAATACATCGTGAAGTAATCAATTCCAATGACAGTTAGCCATATGCTCTGACTCGACTAGCAGTGTTTGGGTAGAACCTTCCGAGGGTTAATTTACATTTTTTGGTACACCTTTAAATTACTGACACTGTCACAGAACTTCACGATTAGCGGTCAAGCGAAGCTTTACGTTCAAAAATACAACATACTTCGAACGTCAAAATAAATGTTCATGTTCTGTGACGTGACCAAATTTGAATAATTGGTCATGCACGTTCAGGTCTGACACTAGTCTGATTTTCGTCGCGGATCATTGTGGAACAATCAATTGAACGGAACTCACCACTATAGAACAACTTCATCGACTACGAGATAGCATTCGATAGTGTGGACAGGAAAACACTATGGAGGCTTCTTCGACACCACGGCGTGACTGAGAAGATAGTCAACATCATACGGAATTCTTATGATGGATTAACCTGCGAAATCGTGCACGGAGGTCAACTGACAAACTCATTTGCGGTGAAGACCGGTGTCAGGCAAGATTGCTTACTCTCACCCTTTCTCTTTCTTCTGGTGACCGACTGGATTATGAAGACGTTAGCATCTGGAGGGAAGCACGGTATTCAGTGGACAGCTAGAACGCAGCTGGACTTCGCAGATGATCTGGCTCTTCTATCTCACACGCAACAACAAATGCAAGAGAAGACGACCAGTGTAGCAGCAGCCTCAGCAGCAGTAGGTCTCAACATACATAAAGGGAAAAGCAAGATTCTACGATACAACACAACATCCGTCAACCAAATCACTCTTGATGGAAATGCCTTAGGGGATAGAAAGCCTCTACATGTCTAGGCAACATTATTGACGAGCAAGTTTGATCTGATGCAGATGTGAAGGCGCGGATCGGGAAAGCAAGGGCTGCATTTCTACAATTGAAAAATATCTGGAACTCCAAAAAACTACTAACAAGCACCAAACTCACAATTTCCAATACCAATGTCAGGACAGTTCTACTGTATGGAGCGGAAACTTGTGGAACTAACAAAGCCATCATTCAGACGATACAAGTATTTATAAACAGTTGTCGACGTAAAACACTTCGAATCCGTTGGCCAGACAAAATCATCACCATCCTAGTGTCTGTGCCATGACTGACCTAATATTTTCATGTCAATACTTATGTATATTAGAGTAAAGCCCAATGACAATCTAATCGGAAACAATATTATTCACTTATATGTGACTCTCTAATTCAGCATGAGTCTAATCTAAAATATTTAGTGTGTTCAGAATTTAAAACGTATCAATGAATACTTCAGACGAAGTAGTCACATGTATATGACATTCATTAAAAACAACTGCTGAACAAAGATCGAATTGATTAGTTTTTCTGCTCCCAATCAATATATAAGCTGAAATCACATAATGGAAGCAACATTTTGCATTTCGAGGGGGAAAACCGCATCCCGAACATGCTTGCATTGTTGCTTAGGGTAATCAGAACACTCTGCACTTTGTCAGCTTTTTCAATTTCATTAAAACTAGGGGGACTTACGTCGATTTGCCATTCAGGATGACTGGAGATCGTGGGTAACCGAAGAGTGGCTCGAGGCCAGTTCAACTGATCCCTAAAGTGTTCTGCCCATCGATCCAGTCTCCTGGATTGAGGATAAATAATAGTCCCGTCATTTTCTGAGATAGTCTCACTTACACTAGGATTCCTAATACCAGTTTCCTTGATAAGTAGGAAAAGTTATCTACTGTTGCCGATCGCCGCCGCCTTTTCCATCGCTTTTGCTTTCGCCACCCACCACTGTTCGCGATCGTTACGTAGGCTTTTTATAAGTCTGCGCCTAAGTTGACTTCGTTCTTCATCATGTTCAGAGCCAGGTGGGATGAGTTTTCGGGCATCCATCAGATCGGTGGATGTTACTGAGATCCACAGCTTCATTCTAGCCTTATGGTCAACCTTACTAGCAGATATCACTGCTGTTTCCACAGCCTTTTTGATATCATTCCATCCTGCTTCCGGATGGGAATCGCTTAAATGGTCGCCTAACTGTCTTTCTAGTTGTTCCTGAAATATATTTTTCGCCTTATTATCATTAAGTAAAACCCTAAGAGGCTTTCTTACGGTGTCTTTCCTACGCCCAGTAAGCTTCAAACAAATACGCGCTCGCACTAGGGCATGATCTGAATCTAGACATGTGCTCCAGAACGAGCGACAGTCCTCTATCGAACCCCTCCATCGGTGGCTGATGGCAATGTGATCTAGTTGAGTCCAACGTTGAGACGACTTTGGAGGTCGCCAGGTCAACAGATGCTTTTCCTTATGCCTAAAATTAGTGTTTGCTAAGAATAGGCGGTTATCTGAGCACAGTTGCAACAGACGGTCGCGATTGTCCGTTCTTTGAGCTGCGAGACCACGACATCCACCTAAGTGTTTTTCATTTTCACTTAGTCTACCTACTTGAGCATTAAAGTCACCAACCATTATTACTATATCAGAGCGCCTAGCTTTTTGGAGGAGGTCCGAAAGCTTTCTGTAAAACTCATCCTTAACCTCGTCTGAACTGCAGTCAGTGGGGGCATAGGCAGGTACGATGAAGAGGCAACGGCGAGTGTCCCTATCTTTACGAGTCCTTACTGTCCCATTTAGTCGGACAGCGCACAAGCGACTATCTACTGGGATCCAGTCTAGGAGAGATTGTTCCGCTCTACGACTCAATGCTATGCCTACGCCAGCGAGACCCCTGGAAGCAGCATCAGGGCTACCTGATACACGAAGAGTAAATCGAGCTGCTTCTTTTTGACAAGGTGAAATCAGATTAATGATTTCACTAGAATCCTGTATGCGCGTTTCCGAGACGCAGCATACATCGATGGCACGAGATTCTAAAGTCCTAGCTAATGAAGCCTGTTGCCCTATTTGACACAATGTCCGTACATTAAATGCTCCAACATGTAGTCTAGAGCGGGGTTTAAGGAGACCAGGAACGACGTTTCGCGAACTCGTGCCGTCTGCTGTAGCTGTGCACTGTGATAAATGAATGTGAGAAGAGTTAGTCGTGGAGATAAGAGAGGTACTAGGGGGTGTAGGAAGGATTTGATTTTGACCAATTTGGTCTCGCGCGCTGTTTTTTACTCAATAAAGCATATTTGCTACCTCAAAAAAATGGTTTCTAGACAAATGTCATTCAAGACACAACAGAAAATAATTTTGTCTTAAAACTATCTTGATTTCCATTCTCAGGTGGAACTACATAGGGGAAATCGACAAGAATTACTGATGTATTAGGACGCCACTACAAATGTAATACATAAAGGATTTATCATATTTACCTAAATCGAATTCTTGACCGGCAGCAGAGTCATGCATTATAACTGGCGGGTTTTTAAACAATTGTTTGATATCTGTTACAAATGCTTCACATTGACTGAGAGGATTTAAGTTAGATTCTGTTTCAGCAAGCTCCAAGGCCTCAGTTTGTGGCAAAACAGCTTCTTTAGTTTCACCTGTAACAAGAATCAAAATGACATTACTGGGAAAAGGTATACGGTGCAAAGTTTACAAATATAATGACTATATCTAATTAGGAATGCTGTCTCTTTTCAATGGGACCCACTATCAAACAACAAAGCTACAAGTATTGGTTCATGTGATATATATATATATATATATATATATATATATATATATATAGAGAGAGAGAGAGAGAGAGAGAGAGAGGCATTAGGTTTTAAAAAATGCATGACGATAGGATGGATGTCTATTGAAAGTTGGTATGTTTGTAAAAATGGTCTTGAGGAGAGCCTTACGAAAAGTAAAACATATAATGTAGTTAAGGGAGACAATCAACAATTTGTTGAGCTATAAGATATAAGTAGTCGCTATTTTGATTGGCTCAATGATTTAACACAAACCTTTTGGAAATACATGATGAGTACATTTTCTGCTGAAATTCAAAAACAATTATCGACTGGGATTGATAGACAACAGTTCTGAGCATACAATTAGGTCGAAATTACACTACGAGGACCCAGGGCAAAACATTCGACAAGTCTATGAGGTCAGTCACTACTGGACTTTTTAGTTATACATAGATAGTAATATTCGGCCCGACAATTTCATATCTCTAGATCAAGGTGATACGGCGAACTGAACTGACGCATATACGTACCAAGTTCTACGTTCACTATATCCGGGGAAACGTTGGAGAGATGATAAGTCCTAGGACTAACTTATAAATTATTTATATGTAAATTATTCATTGTATAATTATTGAAAAACTATACTAAACTTATTTGGATTCATTATATCATAAGCTCTTGATTAACCCATCAAATGGATAATTAAGGGATTTAGTTCTGACTCAAGGTTTTTGGTGCTAAGATGTAATTCTAATTGGTATTTTGCATTTGTAACGTGGTACTGATCAACGGTTACGGATGAATCAACATTGCTTTGCTTGATGAATACTTTAAGAATGAGTAAAAAAAATATTTCAGCTTAAAAAGAACGTCAACTCTGATTACTTACATAACTCGACAGTATTCTTATCTGGTTTGGCGATACAGCCTATTCCAGTTTCGAAGATTGAATAACTGTGAACAAATTGCGGTCTTGTACTTTGACATCCCGAACGCTGAGTATCGTTTTGATAAGACCTGGTCGATCTTGGTTCTGCACGAGTCTTGGGAGTATCTTGCTTTGAACAATTATTAGTACTGAAACCAGATAAAAACAAAAGTGATATAGGGAACAATAAGATTAGGACTAGTCAGAACAAATTATTTGAAAGAACATCCCTCGGTCAGTCAGTCAGATGCAACATAGAACTTCGTACGTACGTACATCAGTTCATGTTGCCATACCACATCAGCACAGAGATGTACTTGTCAAATCAAATCCAATAGTAGAAGAGGTAGTAAAGGTATTAGAAGTAATCGGAGAGGTTAAGCTTAGAAAATATTATACAAGAAATATGATTCCGTGAGCAAGGTTTAGAAAGTCAGAACTAGAGGTGTTGAAGAATCCAGAAGATTAGGATTTGAGAGAACACAAAGAACAAATGCATCGGCGCCCTTGCAAACGATTTTGAGACATGTCATTCAAGGTCTCTAACCATCGATTATTATTATCTCGCGGACCCCAACCAGGTGGTCGACAAGTACCGACATCACTTAGTCCACTCGTCAACGACTTCATGGATTTCTGCCATGTTTTGGTTTGGCCGCCCCTAACTTTCTTCCAACCTATTCCTACACTACAAAACAAAGCTCGTCGAGGCAGTCAGTGGTTAGGCATACGCAGCACATGTCCCAAACACCTCAGCCGATGAAGTTTCATTACTTCATCTATTGATCTGCCATTCTTACCTAGCACCCATTTTCCAATAACAGCTTTGCCCACTCGGGTGTCCCGCGATATACGAGCAATGCTTCGAAGACACCTTTGATCGAAAACCAGTAACCTACGAATATCTTCTACTCTCACTGGCCATGTTTCACAGCGATAAAATAGGACGGAGTGAACTACTGCGCAGTACACTCGTCCTTTAATCAACAAACGGATATGTCACCTTCGCCATAGGCGACGCAGTTTGGTAAAAGTCGATCGAGCCTTCTGTACCCGTGCTGAGATTTCGTCAGTCACCGGGCCATCGGCACTGATGGGACTCCCAAGATAAATGAAGCGGTCTACACGCTCGACTACTTCACTCCCTATCACTAGTTCAGGTGCCGATGAAACCAAATCTTGAAGCAACATTTTGCATTTCGAGGGGGAAATCCGCATGCCAAACATACTTGCATTGTTGCTTAGGGTAGTCAGAAGACTCTGCATTTTGTCAGCATCTTAACCAAGTAGGACAATGTTATCGGCATATTCTAAGTCAACAAGCGAGCCACCTGGTAGAAGGTCTACTCCTGAAAATTCAGACGAGGATGTTATTTCTGGGAGCATGTCTATAATAAAATTAAACAAGAATGGAGAAAGTGGACATCCCTGACGGACACCACTTGAAGTAGAGAATTCCGGTGACAGTTCGCCATAAGCTCTCACTCGACCAGTGGTGTTCGAGTAGAGAGCTTGTATGAGGTTAATGTACTTCTTTGGTTCACCTCTCAATGACAGACACTGCCACAGAACCTCACGATCTACTAAGCTGAATGCCGCCTTTTGGCCCAGGAACACGACTATTGTCGGACATCTAAATGTGTATCTGTGTTCCAGGAACTGTCGTATTGTGAAGATGTGGTCTATACAGCCACGCCCAGATCGAAAACCATCCTGGTTTTCTCCAGTCTGCTCTTCACGAGCTCCAGTCAGACGTCTAAGTATAATGGAGGCTAACAATTTAGAAACTATATTAGTTAGACTTATTCCCCTGTGATTGTCACAAGAGGACTTGGGTCCTTTCTTATAGATTGGGACAATCAGTGATCGAGACCAGTCGGATGGGATAACGTCCGGTTCCCAGATTCTACCTAAGATCTCAGTCAATCTAGCTTCTAAAACTGGACCACCATCCTTAAACATCTCAGGGGTAAGCCTATCAGCGCCTGCTGCTCTAACTCCCTTTAGATTTCCTATAGCTTTCTCAACTTCATGTAGACTAGGAGACAAGCAGACACTGAAATTGATTATGTTCAATGTAGACAAACGAAAAACATGAGATCGATTTTAGATATTCCCCATTGTTGACAGCCGGCCGCATTTCATCTGATGAGACTTAACTCGGTTTTTGACATAGATTTATCGGCAACCGACGTGCAGCTGGACTGATCCCTAAAGTGTTCTGCCCGTCGACCCAATCTCCTGGATTGAGAATGAATGATACAGCAATCCTTTTCTGAGATAGTTTCGCTAACTGATGGATTTCTAATACCGGTTTACTTGATCACTCTAAATAGTTGCCTACTGTTGCCTATCGCCGCTGCCTTTTCCATCTCTCTTGCTTTCTCCACCCACCACTGTTCTCGGTCATTGCGTAGGCTTTTTATCAGCCTACGTCTAAGCTGACTCCACTCGACATCGCACTTAGAGCCAGGCGGGATGAGTTTTCGAGCATCCATCATTTGGGCAGATGCTACTGAAGTCCACGACTTCTCCCTAACCTTATGGTTTGCCTTACTAGCAGGTATCACTGCTGTTTCCACAGCTTTTTTGATGTCATTCCAAGCTGCCTTCGGATGGGAATCACTTACATCGTCGCCTAACTGTTTTTCTAGTCGCTCCTAAAATATATTCTTAGCTCTGCTATCTTTAAGTAGAACCCCAAGAGGTTTCCTTGCGGTGTCTTTCTTACATCCAGTAAGTCGCAAACAAATACGCACTCGTGCTAGAGCATGATCTGAATCTAAACATGTGCTCCAGAACGAGCGACAGTCCTCCATTGAACCTCTCCATCGGTGGCTGATGGCAATGTGATCTAGTTGGGTCCAACATTGATACGACTTTGGGGGTCGCCAGGTCAAAGGATGTTTTCCTTATGTCTAAAGTTAGTGTTTGCTAGGAATAGGCGGTTATCTGAGCATAGATGCAACAAACGGTCGTCATTACCTGTTCTCTCAGCCGCGACACCATAAGATACACTTAGGTGTCTTTTCTTTTCACTTAGTCTACCTACTTGAGCATTGAAGTCACCAGCCATTATTGCTACATCAGAGTGCCTAACTTGTTGGAGGAGGTCCGAAAGCTTTCTGTAAAACTCATCTCTCACATCGTGTGAACTACAATCAGTGGGTGACTAGGCAGATACGACGAAGAGGCAACGGCGAGTGTCCCTATCTTTCCGAGTCCTTACTGTCCCGTTCAGTCGGACAGCGCACAACCGACTATCTACTGGGATCCAGTCTAGGAGAGCTAGTTCTGCCCTACGACTTAATGCTGTACCTTCGCCAGCGAGAGCCTGGAAGCAGCATCAGGGCTACCGGATACACGAAGAGTAAATCGAGCTGCTTCTTTATTTTGACAAGATGAAATCAAATTAATGACTTTACTAGGATCCTGCATGCGCGTTTCGGAGACGCAGCATACATCGATGACGCGAGATTCTAAAGTCCTAGCTAATGAAGCCTGTTGCCCTATTTGACACAATGTCCGTACATTAAATGCTCCAACATGTAGTCTAGAACGAGGTTTCAAGAGACCAGGAATGACGTTTCGTAAATTTGCATCGTTTGCATTAGCGGTGTAGGCTGATAGAGTAATATGAGAATAGTTATTCGTGGAGAAATGTGATATAATAGGGGGTGTAGGAAGGATTTGATTTCAACCAATATGGTCTCGTGTGCTGTTATGGGTACGAGGGCGGTTGTCACTTCCCGGTCGCCCACACCGTTGAAGGTTGTTTGTTGAGGGACCTGAAAAAGAAGGTAGATTATTGTTGGTCTCACCGACCTGGGAGCGTGACTGCAGAGTCTAAGGGACAACTGCTTGAGGCCGGTCACGCACCGCCTTTTTATGAGAAGTTTTTTGAGTGTTAGCTCCGCTCTTGAAAGCCCTTAGTGGGCAGCCCTTACCGATGGAGACGGAAATCCGTAAGGTCGGGTAAGGTGTTACATTTTTAGGGTCGACATTTTCTAACCCGACCTTCCTTGTGAGAACGCAGCATCTCTGCAGATGCTGGTTGTCCGAGGGAAACAGCTTACTGCTGTCACACCCCTCTGTAGTCAGCAGTACGACTTGGCCCTCAGACCTTGAGTAGCTGCTTTTAGTCTCATCGTTCTCCAATCGACCTGCCTGGCATGGTAGAACGTTCGTGAACATATGTTCCAGCCAATATAACTCGGTTGGGTCATCACGATAGACAACCCCGACCACCACGTCAGGGTAACAACTACAGTTAGTATACGGGAGAATTGGGTAAGGATGTGAGGCTAGAAATTGATGTGCGAATATTTCGAATCAATGATTTTGGCGCGAACTAGCACCAGCTGTAACGCCTAAATGTAAGATTTTGTTGCTGAATTGTATATCACGGTCTTAGACCTGGTAATTTGGTCCTTTAATAGTCACACTGAATACTTGTATAGGCAGCAATATTGCAAACCACAATCTCGACTTGTCTATAATGGATACAATCTTCACAACCCCGTAATATAATGGATACAACATTTAGTATGCCGAAAAATCTAACTTTGCTGGGCCCGTCTAAACATACATCAAAATATCAATCAGCTATTTTCATTACGTTAACATCATTACATACATCAGTCAGCCTGGTTGCCTTAAACAACATCAGCAAAAAGAATTGACTTCAAATCCTATTAATATTTTAAATAAACTGCATAAAAACATTCGCGTTACATTAGGAAGCAGCAACAGCTTCTTATTAGTTTTCATCTTAAACCAAACTACATCACTTCGACAGAACGAGACAACCCAATAAATATGCGACCATAGGGGACAAACTACTTAGCAAATGCTTTAAACCAACGCAGAAAATGAGAATACATAACAACAAAAACAACACTTACATGTTATTTTGACGAGATTTACTTAAAGCCTTGGATATATTTGGCAGAAATTTTCTTTTTGTGACTGTAACGCCTAAACTAAGAATGACATCTAATATCTAGTTTGATAATTCAATTACTCTTGGGCTTCTATCCTGTTTTTCTGTTTCATTGGTCAATCCTATCACATTACTGTATGTTCTGCCAAGTACCACACAACTTTCATAACGCCCAGGTCCAATATCCAATATATTTTCATGAGCCGGTTTAAGCCAACTGATTTCTTCGCTTTCGATTACTGTTTTTTCCAGGCATTTGTTTGTTCAATTAATACGCGATGAATTTTGGATTAGTGTGGGCAATCATAAAATCTTTAAATTGACTTCTTCAGTTGTTCGAGATAATTTACATCCCGAGGATTCATAGGGGACACATGAGTATGCAAACCCAAGTTTTTAGTTTCACTATGGAAAGAACGGAGGTTGAGTGGCCTTCTTTAGTCCTGGTAATGTTGGTTTTTTTATTGATCCGACTTTCTGTTTAGTGCGTTGACAGGTTAAACTTAGACCATGCGTTGATGTTACAAGTTCTAATTGATGACGATTCAATCAGAGTGACAGTCATCTTCTGGCAGGTGATTTGTTCTGGGTTTATAAACGTTTACATTGTCCCAGCAAATCCCTTATTTTGGAAGGCTAGAAAAACGAGGGCATGTCAGATTTAAATTTATTCTATTATGAAGTTACCTCTGGCCCTTTTATATGATAAGGAAAATAGATTTAATGTTGCTGTATACAAAGTCGATATTGTTTCGGCAGAAGACTGGCTGAAAGCTCTGCGTTTTGACTGTAGGGTTCTAAGAGCGTTGACGGTTTTTGTTTGATAATGATCATCACCCTTTATGTCTTGGCCGATGATGATACGTAGGTTATTTTGTGTCTGAATAACAAGCAACTCATCGTGATTGAATCCGTACTTTAGTGACCAGTATGCATTCGAATGCAGCTGGAGGCATTTATCGATTACTGACGAATTCCAGACCTTCATATGGTTTCCATAGACCATTCTGAAGCCTGTGTCACCGTTTTTCATCACTTCAGTATTTGGTCGGAATATAGCAAAGTGTGTGATAACATGAATATAGGAAGGTCGTTCACGTATTGAGGGAACAATACTGGCTCATAAACTGTACGTTCAATGAAGCACTGTTTCACAGCTAGATAACTTGAAGTTAACATGCACTTTTCGTTGATGCCTAGGTATGGAATCTTTGATCCGCATCAGTAAGTTGTAGTCGATACAGATATCACTTTACATTGATAAAGCCTGCGTCTGATGGGTTGAAGCCAAGGAACGCCGCATCTTTCGGCATCGACCTTCACTGGCTATTAATTGGTTTATGAGATAAGAAAACAGCCTGTTCTGAAGCTGTGCCGCTTTTCAGAAAGAATCCAATCTTGGATCTGATTGCTGCCACTCTAAGGACGGAACATAGAAGAAACCTGCTATCTTGAATTTCTATTCTTCGTGGACCTCTTTGAAAACAATCTTCTCACCTCTAGCCAACGTAAGGTAATCAGCTGTGGGCGTGATTTGGATGACTGTATAACGATTGTTGTCTCCAGTTACACCCTAAATAAAGACAATGCGCCATATATCCGCACTGAATCGCCATCGGTTTTGCTCTGCTGCTTATCCTTCAGCAATAACTAACAGGCTTGGATTACATACTTTTTGAATTACCTATCTTCTACCAAACATACTCTCGACCTACTTTATTAAGTGAATCCTAGTTCGATTGAGTCTAAGATACGCGATTAGAGAAATGTTGTCAAAAGCGTTGTTCAACCATGAGCATTAGCGGCATCGCCATTGTCTAAATTCTCTTCAGAGTACTTATGACGTAATTGCTATCTTAAAATGAAACGTAAGTCCCTAGAATTGGTGTGGATACCTTCCCTGCGGATAAATGACTCTGTATGTTTTACAAAAGGATTATCCAATAGTACAACAGTTCGGTGATCGAAAGACATAGATATCGCATTGGCAAAAAACGGGATATACAAAAGCACAAAGAACTGTCGTGCAACTTGACTTATCGTTTAGATCAATGACAACAAACTTTGTATCGACCGATTCAAACCGGTTCTGAATAATTAGATAGATACCGATATAACTACTACTATTATTGTTGTTATATATGAACAGACAGCGATTGCGCTGGTGAAGTTAGATCCCCAGAACTCGCTTGATAGTTTCTTTATTTTGTATTTATTACATGGGCCGATAATTTGACCTTGAGATAACATTTCCCACCAAGAAAAATCCTCGGCTGTGATTGGTCGATGCGTTATTTTAGTGACTTTCCCAAGGACGTTCCTATGATGTACAAATAAACGCGATTTGTGTGCTGGAGATCATTGTGTTTGCTGGATGTGTGTAGAATGCACTTTCTACGCCATATCAAAATGTAGAATTCTTTTTGAATGTTTTGTGTTTTGGAAAATCCCTCCATGTTTACATATTTTTGCTATGACCTGATGGACCTTTTCTCTTGACATTTTTGGTATTTTATTTGATTCCAATTTGAGGTTTTACCATTGTATGTTGTTATTCTTTCTATATTTTGTACTTATATTGAAGTTTTTGTGTTTGCTTTTGAACTGTACATATATTGTTTAAATTTGATATAATATGGCTACCGCCACATTTTTGGATAGACGCGGTGGCTGCTGGACTTAGTGTCACTTACTAGCTATTGTAATAGATACTCTACGGAGTAATTTAGTCCTGGAAGAAACAAAAATACCGTAAGCCTCTGTATTTCCATTTTATATTAATATAGAGACGTTTTCTCCTAGAATTTTTGGCCTTTTGATTTCGGCTGGGACCTGGATCTAGGAGTAACGTACCGGAGTGTTTCTATTGGACGCGATTAGGACAGCCGCCGGCGAAATAGATTCTACAGTCTGGTATTTGCTCTTCTTGCGTGAATTATACTTTGGAAATCTCCATTGGAACATATATGATTTGGATCTATTTGGATTATTAAGAATTACAAGGAAACATTTGGAATTTTAATCGTTTATCATACTAGACTTCCTTGGAGGAAGAAGTGGATTATTCACCGTTATTTTTGAACTGAATTGTGAAATTACTCTATTTTGTATTCGTTACCGTCTTTATTGAACTTTATTTATGATGTCAAACCGAAAAAAATCACACATGAGGACGGTGGAAGAGCTCGACGGATCACAGGGCTCTAGGCAAGTCGTTAGTGATAACCTTTTTATGGGTAACCCACATGTTATGTCTGATATTTATTATTGTAAGTCATCGATAGAGGGTTTAGAATTACCTAAGGTTGAGCTTTCATATTTTGATGGAAGGTCTCGCGACTATTTTAAGTTCATACGACAGATAGAGACGTTTATAGAACCTCGAATCAAGGATGATCAAGTGCGTTTATTGTATTTAATTCATTATTGTAAGGGAAAAGCAAAAAATGCGATTGAAGGCTGTATTATTATGGATCCACAATCAGGATATAAGAGAGCTAAGGCCATTCTAAAACAGCTCTTTGGACAGACGCATGTAATAGCGCGAGAAACCTTAGAGGACTTATTTAGAACTGGGAATGTAGAATTTAATGATCCTGAATCATTGACGAACTTGGCCATTAAAATGCAGAATGCTGCTTTGACCTTAGAACAGTTGAATTGTACAGCTGAACTTAACTCTATGGCTACTTTAGAACGAATAGTAAGGCTCTTACCTCGTCGAATGCAAGCCCAGTGGGCAGAGCTAGTATTCAAGTGGGACGAAGAGGAGAGAGAGCCCAATTTTAACGAATTGACGGAATTTATTATGTCTCGTGCTAAGATAGCTAGTAGTAGGTTCGGAAGATTAGCTTATCAGGCTAAAACAGGAAATAATACGGAAGCTACTAGTGGTCTGCGTGCGAGACATTCGGATTCTTCGTTTCTACCTAAAGCACGCTCGGAAGATAAGAGATTTGTCAATTATATCACGAAAGCATACGCTGATGAAGGACGAGTATGTGACCGTAACGATGTAAAGCCTCTTGATGCGTGTCCTAGCAAGAAGCCGGTTGATGTAACAGATAAGATGGCTTTTCTAAGTGTAGAAAAGAAAGAAAAAGGTGAAAAGTGTAGGCATCAAGATGGATCCGAAGTGTGTGATGATAAAAGCCTCTTAGCTGCTCGAAAAGCCTGGAACGGTAATTTGGATTCGAGTAATCAGAGGTTAGTGAGTTCAGCAAATATGAATAAAGCCCAGGCAGGATTGACTGAACGGAATAAAGCTTATTTTCGGAACCCTTCAGTTAGGGTAAATTATATAACTGGACCTAGAGTAGATTCTAGGATAAGTGATGGTGGTACAGTAACGGCTAAAAAGCCTAGGAGACATGATGCTACTATTACTAAGAAGCCTGAACCTCATGCTCTTTCGGATGCTACGATTAGCCATGGAAATAGTAGCCATCAGAACCTTAGTAGTGACAGTGATAATAAGGATATAGAAAGTGTCAGCAGTCCACTTATAGGGACTAGTTTATCAACTTCATCGAATGAGCTTCCTAGTGTTTCGACGCCATCGGTCCTCGTCACGAAGGTTAAGTTGATTGAAGATGCACACGGTTGTGCAACTGTAACTGTTCCTATTACGGTTGACTGTCAGTCGAGTGATGAGGAGAAGAAAGTGTTTGATGGTAACGTCCAGTCTACAGTGCTGTGTGATGACGATGCTGTTGTTGAGCATATGTCTTGTGCCGCGGAAACGGATGCTAATGCAGAACGGAATCAATTAGACGTTGATAATAAACTGGATGTCACTGATGTGACAAATGAGTTACCGACGATGATGAACACTGTTCAAACCTCCTCTGCATCAGGAGATGGAAGGATAAATATTGATCCTACGTCATGCTACCTAAGGTCTTCTGGAGACGATGAAATGTCAAAATTGGCGACTCGTCCCCACGATAGAGAATGTAGTCCTCGAATAGGATATGACCAGTTTTGTGACGCGTTGTTCATGTTCGTATGGGTTAATTGGGTAAGGTTTATACTACCGTTAGGTCATTCCACGATAGATAGGGGAATCAAGGGCCTGATGGGAAAGTATAGGTATCTAGTTAGCGCGATAGGT